AGTTGTATCCCACCTCGAATATATCCCCAAAAAAGTTCTGTCCCAAAGTGGGGATATAAACGAGGTATGACTGTATATGTATCATGTGATTTATTTTCTATGTATTGGCCACACATAGTTAGTAATTTCGCATGATAGAAATCCGATGTGTGCGCACACGGTTTTTGGCATAATTATATAACAACTAGATCTAACATAAGTTCTTCTGCGCTAGTTTGACGATGCCTTTGAAGGGGTATGTAGTCTCCGCGATTTCGAAGTTGCAGGACAAGAAGAAGATCTACCCACTGAGAAGATTGAAAATAACTTGCGAATATTGAAAGGCAACCTTAAAAAAAGTAAAGCTCGATATGCCAAATCTTTACGAAAATCTATAGGCAAGGTTAAATCTTCAGAACTTTCATGGCGCGATCCACTCGCAAGTCAGGTTCTTAGTAGTGAAATGGAGATGGTTAAGCAATTACCAAAAGAAGAGTATGAGTCTTTCATGGTAAGAACAAAATAATTCATTTTTGTGTAATAAAGGTTATGTTTAAATTGTATATATTACTAGGAGCCGGTAAAATACATGCAAGCACCTCTCCCTTCTTCAATCAAATCAATATGTGATGAATTCGTATCAAACTATGATGACGGTACTATGGAGATCCCCCCTCAAAAACTTTCACATGTAAATTGGCAGGAGAGGGAAGAGGTCCTTAGGAATATCGCAGTTAGAATTCTTGAAACTCTGTAAGTGTAATACTGGATCTATTTATTGTTAATCCATTCGTAATTTTATATACTATTTATTTTTTATACTATAGGGGTGATATTTGGAAAAACCCAGCTTTTAGCCCTAAATTCGCTAAAACCCAGAGGACATATGTGACGGACGTTATTGTCCCTATCATTCGAGCCACACTAAAAGATCTACCAATCGGAAAATCTGCATATATCAGCACGTGAGTAAACTCTCTTATTTTTTATTCTAAAGGTGTTGTTCTATTTACATTTCTTATATTATAGGGCAGAACGTCAAAGTGTGGCTAGCAAAGACAGAAGAGGTGAAAGAGGAAAACGTCCAGATGTTATGTTCATAGTTAAGCATGAGGATAGAATCTATGAATTAATATTTGCCGAATGTTCTCGTATTGTTTGTGGTGACGCAAAAAAAAGACGATGATAGAGTGAAACTGTGGCGGGAACTTAATGATGGCTTATATTGGGCGAATAGAGGGTGTAGATTGATTGAAAATGAGTTCGGTATTCTTGGGTTCCAAGTTGCTGGACAAAAGTTTAATCTATATGTCCTTATCCGAGATCATGAAGATATAAGCCGTCTATTCCTTTTACGATCTGTAGATATCCCGACACAGTATACAGATAACGAAAAAACTGTATATGAGTTTGTAGAGGCTTTGTTGTTACTACGAGTATGTATTCGTTCATATTCTCTCATACATTTATTCCATACCATTCACTAACCTTTTTAATTTGCAGAGAATCTTGATCGTTGATCTGTCTTTGCTATTTAACTCTAGAACGCGGGGTAGTGATGAAGGTAGTTCGACAGTATCTTCACCCCCATCTAATAATTAATATTTATCCTCATTTTATTTACCATCTCAATAAAACCGGCCCTGGTGGCTAATATATCATATATAATTATCCACACTCGATCGTTATTTTTCAAATATCGTCACGTGTTATATATCTGTCCCGAAATATAGATCACACATGTCAAAATAGATCCGCATATCATAGCAATGGGCTCCGCGCTTATCAATCTTGATTGGTTGATCGTCGATTATTTCTCACGCTCCCTGTGGTATGAGATCTCTTGGCAAAAGCGATCGGCGTGAACAATGTTAACTCGCATATGCATCGTTCCCTATAACGTGATGTAATTTCGTAGTTACGACGTGGTTATAATTATTTTCAGATTAAATTTGCTACATTCGCTTAATTTATATATTTATACGTTATTTTCTACATTAAATATATTCGATATTTTATTATAGCAAATATGACAAGTATTACTAATAATAAATCCAATCAAAGCAAAACGTTTGCTTCTTTATATGGAGTACTTTTATATAAAGAGAAGGATATAATAGCAATTCAAGAAAAACTTGGTATTAATAGTAATACATTAAAGCAAATAGACCACGAGCCTGATGGAAAAACACTCGCCGATTCATATGAATTGTTGTTAGAATTGGTGGGAAATTTAATACCAATTCAGGGGAAACTTGGTATAAATATCAATCCCGTTTTGGAAGCGGAACTTAGAAGGGATAAAGCCTCTTCAGATAAACCAATTAGATTATTTGATTTGCTTTTATGCTTAGAAGACGATATAGCGACAATTCAGGAAAAAATCGGCATTGTTGGCTATACTAATCAAGAAATGGCGGAAGAAGCCGATAAAAATGCGAAAGCGTACCTCCGAAAGTTTGAGAAATTCCACGGTCCCTTAGAAGATGATCCAGGTGTACTAATAAAGAAATTCATCGACAAGGGGGTAAAAATATTTTATTTTACTGGAGAGGGGCTTCCACTATTTCCGAATGTTTCTCCTCAACAATTACATGAAATTTTCGTAAAAAATTATACTAGTACCAATCAGTGCCCATGTCTAAAATCAAAAGTAGGTTCGGAGAACCATTGCTTTGCAGGCCCGAAGGGGCGACCCTAGACTCGAAGAGTCATTGCTCTGCAATAAAGGGTCATAAAACAAGGAAAATTATCACAGATATATATACAACACGGCAAATAAAAATTCTTTGACGAAATTAGCTGGAGGCTGTCGAATACCCGATTACTCGCTCTATTTTTCTATAGCAGAATAATGCGCTTCCTGCGATATTATATTATGATGTATACTATAACCGAAAAAATAACTCGGTAAATAATTACCCATTCTTCGATACTAAATATAATTATGACCCAAAGGGTCGCCCCCTAAAGGGCCTGATTGCGGAAATTAAATCTGTTCTATCTAATACTAATGATGGAGCTTATTCACATTTTGATGATATCGATCTTTGGCTTGCTTCATAAATGATCCACCAGGTCTATAAAGCCATTTAATTACTGCGTGCTGGATTATTTTAGCGGAATTAATTTGTCTTCTCCATAAACGATATGTCTGCTGGATAATTAATGACGCATGATTTTTCTTTATATAATGCTAGTTGAACTTTAAAATCCCTATAATTAGGGTCATTGCTTATTTGCTTATGGCTGGTTAAATTATTTTTGATACGAAATACAAAATTTTCCCAGTAATCTCTATTATTGATTTCATATCCTAATTTTAATAAACGCTTGCGTATATATTTTGGTGGATAACATTTTGCAAACCGTAACCATGCTTCTGACGTTTTAATATCGTTAACGATATAATTTTCACCGTATTCACTTAATTTATCTCTTACTCTGCTATAACTCATATTGTATATTTGTTATCTCAAACGTGTGAATTTTATTAACTAGGACTTTTTATTTAATTGTTATATAGAAACATGGATATTAACGCTAATTCTATTGTAACACGTGCTTTATCTATACCTGAAATTTTGGAAAATATACTTTTTCATTTTTCTAATGACGAGGATCTATTAACAGCACGGCAGTCAATCATACCTGGCGTACAGAAGGATTTCGGGCTCTCATAAAATTATATGAATTTCGTTTTAACATTTGTAATGAAAGCTGGAATAATGTATGTGGAAATGGTATAAAAAATCAACTTAAATCTATTTATTCTCAAGTCGATAATATTTTTATTTCACTTCATTCGTTATCATTTTATAATCCCCCTATACTGTATAATAATTTTTTAAAAGATATACATTATCTTATAGATGACTGTATACACTTTTTAAGAGATATTGATATCGAAATAGAAGATATCCCTGATTATGAATTTGATGAAGAAGAATGGTTAGAACACGTTATCGATTCCTTATCTTAGCATCTATTCTTCCGGAATTTCACAACTATATGCAGTATCATATGAATTAAATGCACTGATTAAATGACCAGATTTTTTGTAGACCCAAAGGGTCATGAGTGTAACTCGCCCCTACGGGCCTGCTTCGCAATAAGCTTTTACCGCTATTTAAATCGTACGTCTACACGAAACGTGCGGTGTCAAAATGAACTAACACCTACCAATCCATTACTTGTTGCCAGTTATCCGTTGTCATACCTATAAATTTCTAAATTGGATATTTATTATTATTAAAAAGAAAAAAAAATATTATAGGAATTGTCTGTGAATCAGGATACTCTGTGTCTGTCTTTGATTGGTTCATTGAGTGGGCTAGACTCTATGATTCCGATTGCATTCAAGACAGACAAGACGTACGTTTCCTTCAATGTGACCTAATTTATTATTGATATTGAGGTTTGAGTTCGAGATTCAACATTCTTTTTTCGGCTTCTTCATGTGATATTCCTCTTGCTATAAATTTCTTATATGCAATAATACGCCAATCCCCAAAAGCTAATGTAGTAATTCCATCTGATAAAATCCATCTCTTAGTATCTAAAGGGCTAATACCAACTTTAGATGAACGAAGAAGTCTGATAATATGGTCTTTACTTCCTAATCTATGCATAGTTACCATACATTCTTTTCGAGATTTTAAACAATCTTCATACATATCGTGAGTAAAATTCTTTTTGACTACTATCTTTTGTACTCCTTTAGCTCTTCGATCTGTTTTCCCATCAGCAAGAATATAACTATAGAGCTTAGGTCTTGGTCCGCAAAATTTCCACATAGCGGTACCGCAACTTTCATCCTTAAACTTACCAGGAACTTTTTTATTCAAACTGATCTTTTCTTTTCCGAGAGCTTGGTATATAGGATGTTCTGGCTTATAATCGCTAAAATCGAAATGTTCATGCATCTCTGCCATATCTTTATAAACATTCTCAGTTCGGATAAGTAATATAAGAGAATCAGTATCCGTATATACCACTTCAACATTATCTCCGTATCGTTTTTTTATAATATTATAATAGAAATTATACATGGTAATCTTACTTTCATCAAGGACAGACATACCAATAAAGATAGGTTTACTAAGTCTAGCTTTTGATTGATGACGAGAAATACCTACTAAATTCTCTGCTAAAATTCTATGCGACTTGTAACTAGGATCAGCTACTAATTTTTTAAACTTTTTTGATTCTCCTTCTGGTCTAACAAAATCTATTCTTTGATATTTTCGTACATTCTCTACAGTCTTTCCATAGTTTGCATTACCAAGGAGCTTATACATATTTTTCTCGAAATCATTCTTAGCTAAAGCACGAGATCTTGCTAACTCTTCCATAAAAGGCTTCATCCATGGGCTTTGGTTAAATTCTATAGCTCGATGAATTTTAGTAAGTACCATTCCTTGATTTATATAGAATTGTAAAGCTCGATAATGGACTATATACTTCTTCTTATTATTGAGATTGGGGATGAGTTTCTTAGTCTTTGTATAATGTTTTAAATCATTAATAATCTCTTGTCCACACTTACTCATTTCCTCTTTAGAAATCTCGATATTTTCAGGAGCTAAAGGATATGAAGTGTGAGCTTTGTGTAATTTATATGGATAGTCAAGATCAACTTCCAAAATATAGCCTTTATCTGCATCATCAGGGATTTCACACTTGCTAATTTTATTAAAAAGGTTTGGAGTTTCTTCTGCCGTTATCCATCTATGTCCGCCTGTTGGCATAGCTTGCATCATTGCTCCAGTATATAATGCATTGGCATCAACATATAATAGCCAAGTATAGAGTTTTTTCATGGCTTCTTCTGTCTCTGGAACAAAATCGGGACATTGCGGGTTATTAGCTTTAACTTGACGATTACTTACCATTGTAATACCTCCTCGGATACCTTTCTCACAGAAGAGGTACATATTATCATCAGTAAATAGCTCAATCTCCTGTCCAGTTGTTTTATATAAAGCATCTTCTGCAAATGAAGGGAGGGAAACATAGTGAGCAACATCTAATCCAAACTTATCTGTCATTAATTTTCGAAATCCTTCTAAACAATCTGCTAATAATAGTACGTCGAGATTAAGATAAAAGTCGTGATAATCTCTGAATGTTTTCATATCAAAAGATTCCCATACCTCTTGTGCAATTTTATAAGCTTTTTCTGAGCATTTAGATTTGTTAAGGATACTATCAAAAGCCTCAATAGGAGGAAGTGAAGTAGCTTCCATTTTTTCCGGTGTATTAAACCAATCATATGGGAAAGGAGCTTTACGAAATACTAAGTCATCCCTTCCTTTTGGCCCATGCTCTCTAGTTATGGGGAATCTCTCTGGATGAGCAAAGCATCTATCTGAGTCAATTCGATAAAGATGACCGGGCTTTTTACATGGTAAGTTTAAAGAATTTCCATCTTTATCTACTTCCTCTTTACACGGTTCAGCTCCTAAGTTAGATATATGAGAATCAAGGGATCCAGGCATAAGTTGTAAAGAATCCATATATCTTTGATTTCCAATATCGAGAGTGAGATAACTTTCCATATTATGAGGAATCGCGCTTATCTTTTCTCTGCTTACTCGTCCCATAGCTTGGGAAATAAGATGAGCGTCAAACTTACCTAAATTATGAAAACGAATTGGTAATTTAAACTCCTCTGGTTTGATTCGTAGTTGGAGGTTACAAATACTATGGGCTGGACCTCTATAGTTACCTGTAATATGGTCATGATCTCGAACTTTTTTAAGATTATCTTCTTTTCCAAATGGCTTTTCACATATCCAACATTCTTTAGCCGAATTATGCGTTTTTTCTTCTTGAGTAGTTAATTTTTTCATTGGTTCTCCAGGCCATCGGAGTCTACAATAAATTGTATTTGCTAAACGGTACATTATTCCTATATCTACTCCAAGGGGATCTCTTTTATGAGCTTGGTAAAGACCTTTTAAGTAATGTTTAAGATGTATTAATTTCTCGTATTCTTTACTAGAAGCGAGATTAATTTTGCCTAATTTCCATGTTTGAAATATGCTAATGTGGTTAATATAACCTTCTGCTATCTCTTCTGGTATTATTCCTGATCGCAACATTCTGATTAATTTCGTTGCAGATTCTCGAATTATATGGCCTCCTGCGAGAAAGTCTTGACATTGCTTATTTTCCTCTTCCATTGCTTTAATAAATTCTCCAGCAGGATCGTCGCTTCTAATTTTTACTGGTGCTTTGGTTTTGCCATCACTACGCCTAATTATATAATCAAATGATATAACTTTATGTTCTTGGATTGCTGTCGTTTTCGATCCTTGGTTTTTTTCAATCAGAGTGGAAAGAGTTTCAGCATCTGCTGTGCAAGTAAAAGGCGCATCTAACATTCGCTCATATCGTCTAAATTTATAGATATTTTTACCTTCCTTTGGCATTTCCGTTCTTTGTACCGGGGTATTAATTCCTTCACAATCTTCCATATGCTGAGCGTCAATTTTGGGGTCATGGGTTCGGTGGCTTACGCAATAATCACAAACATATAACTTTCGATGATGTTTTGTTGTATATCCTGCTAATTTTCCTAACCCGTCTCTTCCTTGAATTAAGCAATAATGTTGGGCGGGTTCTCCTGTTTTCGGATCATCACCAGTTATTAATAAAAGTCGGATTAATTCTCGTGGTTGACAGTTCCCCTCTTCGTGTTTGCATCTATCATGTACTTTGGATTTAGGCGCGATTCTGATTGGGATAAGCTTTTTTTCACTCCATCCATAAATTGATACAGATATATCTGGATTTTGTTTCTCGAACTTTTCCATTGTATACTCGTCCGCTTTTACTGGGAATTGAATTCCATTAAAATTTAACTTACCTAAGTGGGGGGTATACCAAGAAACTCGTTCTCGATGATGTTGTGCTGGGAAAAGTTCTGCAAGATTACAATATTCAAAGCAACGATCATCCTCATTTTTAATATTGATAATTCCGTTATTTCGTTTGGGAATTCCCTTAGGTAGTGGGAGATGAGAACTA